TTTTTGTAGGTGCACCAGTAGCCAACCATCTTTCATATTTTGACTATAATTGTAGTATGGAATATTATACTGCAACTATCCCTATCAATCCTTCTTTCGCCTCTATTTCGCTGTCCCCCACCCAATTAGGGTGTTAATGATTTTGCATTTTTTGTAGGTGCACCGGTATGATAAGGCACAAAGCAACTATCCTTGATATTTGGACTATAATTGGAGTATGGAATAGTAATTTACTCTGTCTTTCCGTACCTCTCTCTATCTAGCTTTACCGATCCTTCTTTTGCTGTCCTATTGCCAAGCCACCTATGTCAATGATTTTGCATCAATATTCTGACTATCGTTGAAGTATGGAATAGTAATGTTTCTTCACCAAGGGCTTCACCAATCACTCTTTACCTTTTTTCGCTGTCCCCTTGCCAATCCACCTTCAAACCGCCAATGAGGGTTTCAAAGATTTTGTAGATGCACCGGTTTAGGAAGAGCCAAGCAAACAAAATTGAATATTATGATTGGAGTATGGAATAGTACCATCTCTGTCTTTCTGCAACAATCCTTATCGAGGTTTGCCAATCCCTCTTTCGCCTCTATTTCGCAGTACCTTTGCCAATTCACCCCCAACCTCAAAAATGGTGTCAATGATTTGTCAGGAACATCGGTGCAAGAAACAAGACAGCCATGCTGTTTTTACACAGTTGAATTGCACATGCATACAGTGTGGTAATGGTATTAACAAACAAAGACCGAGTGTGTTTGGCTGGCACACTAAGTCACCATTGTATATACATGATTATGAGTCAAAGCTGTGACTGTGTGAAGTGCTTTGTGAAGGCAAAAATAAACGTTTACTTTAACACGTAACAGTTTTGAATGTCAGTGTAGAGTTCCTCTCCAGCCTCCAGGGGAGCTCCCAGTGTTCTGGCCTCTTCAGTGTAGGCAGCCACATCCTCTGCCGTCCATGTCAGCAACTTGAAGTCTGGACGCTGGAGCACAGTTTGGATGTCGGGGAATGTGGGTCCTGGACTCTGGCTCCGGGTTCCTTTCACAGACAAACTCATTTAGCCACACACTTTATGTCAGCCTTACCAGCAGTTGATCATGGCCTGATAGACAGCTCTAGGACATCCAGGTGGGGGAGGGAGGCGATATCCTGACTGGATCTTCTCGTAGACCTAAGTATGAAACATGACACAATGTTGCTTTGTTCTGCAAATAATTAACCTCATTATTAGTCATCAGAAAGTAGGGTGAAGCTCCTAGTGTCCATATCTCATACAGTACAACTCCAAAGCTCCACGCGTCACTGGCAGTCGAGTACTTCTTGTAGTGGAGAGCCTCTGGAGCTGTCCATTTCACAGGGGATTTTCCCTCCACGAGAGACATAGTAGTCAGTGTCTTGCAGAGCTCGAGACATGCCAAAGTCAGCAATCTGGAAGGAGGGAGAGGTATAGCCTAAGGGATTTATGGCAAGCAATAAACATCAAGACAGACCTTGCACATTTCCTCATGAGAGACCAGTATGTTCCTGGCTGCCAGGTCTCTGTGTATGAACCCCTTCCCAGACAAGTAGGCCATTCCTGAGGCAATCTGACGACAGAAACTCAGCAGTAGTGCAGCAGTGTTTGCAGGCACACTCTCAGAGTCATCTCTGTGGTAATACAAGTGTAATGTTTGTGTACATGGCTGAAATTATTCATACATAGGCTTAAATGAACAAAGATGTGTTAGAAGGTCGCCGATCTTCATCAGTTCAACAACAATCATTATCTGTTCAAAACATCATAGGATAACATAACACAAGTGTTAGAGAGAAAAGACAACCCAACTTGTTTGCTGTCCAGAAGAACCCCATGGAGAGTGATGACATTGGGATGTTTGAACTGGCCCATGATGGCTGCCTCCTGCAGGAACTCAATGCGTTTCTCCTCTGTGGAGCCATCTGCCAGTGACTTGACAGCCACCTCCCTCTCCTCTCCCCCCACACTCCACACTCCCCTCCTCACCACACCAAACTCACCACTACCCAGCCCACTGGAAAGTCTACATAACATTCATTTGATACACTAAGCGTGAGTTCTCCAGTAGGTGACTCACGTGAGGCCATCAGGTGAGATTGTGTATTCTGTGAGCTGTTTCTTGAGCTCCTCTTCCACACTGGCTGGCTCCCAGAATGGCATGTCATGGTCTCTGCTGAACTCATAGAGTCCCTCAGCTGAAGCTTGGGGTGTTTCATTGCCCCACTTTCTGACATAGTAATCTCTGACATAGTCATAGTAGGATCTCTCCACCTCCTACATGTGTCAGAAACACAAACGTACAATAGCTACCAAGTACGAAACTGCCCCGATCAGCTGCCCTGGAAGTCAAAGTCTAGGCAGAGTGCTTTACTAACTTACAAGGCAGCTTTGCAGGCATGGCTTAATCTACTTGCAACACACAACTTAGTAAAACTCAAATCTATTGCGAAATTTGTGGACAACCCCAATAATCACATGCATCCTGTCCTGGGTGTATTTGACTTGTTTGCTTTGCCTTGCCTTTTCTACCTCGACACCTCGTTTTTGGCACATGCATCTGAAACTGAGCTAAGAGCTATCATTGAACTGCAATTACCTATACATGACCTATACACTTGTGTTGCACACATGTGTGATCTAATAATCAGTCCTTAGTCCTTCACATTCATTGGCACATCAGGTGCATCCTTTCGTCGCTTTGACCACTGCCGCCTTATGATGAACAGAGCAAGTGTTGCACACAGCAGCAGAAAGCAGGAGATACCTATCAGTATGTACTGGACTCCAATAATTCCTTCAGTACTCTCCTCAGGCAACTCTGTTGGTAGAGACCATAAAGCATTTTCTGGATAACTATAGCAACCTAGTAAAATGTCTCACTTGTTATATTTGCAGAGAAGAAGAGAGATGTATTTGTGGGAGACCATACAAAATAGCTATCACCAAACACTACCTCATAGTTGCTGTCCATGGTTTTATTTATAACTGCTGGCTGAAAGTAACATTTTGAAGAGCAATCTGGGTTCAGGTTTACTGCCAGAACATTACCAGGAGGGACTTGGATGTTTAGACCAGTGGCGCTGACGTAGCCTTCGTAATAGTTCTCGTCTACCTTTGCGGTTTTGTTGCATTTTGCATCCAAAAACACTATATCATGCACATTACTAAAGCTATGATCTGCTCTTGCAGCGCTTAGCAATCGCAGTTCAACATTGTCGGGTCTGCCACAGAACCCGCGAGCCTCGACGGATGTAACTATGCCTCCACATGGGAGTATATAAGCGTAGTATCCTCGAATTCTCGAAGGTTCAGCTACTAGCGTCTCATAGTCTTCTTCATCATACTCCTGTATACCGGTAATGCACTCTGTGGAGAGAGAACTGATGAACATGCTGATTACCCACGCAGCTACCATCCTCGGCGGTGGCTCCGTGTAGTACAAGAACGACAGCAACCATGACCGCCAAAACAACCATTGCACTTTACGAAAAACAGCAAAGCACACTTTGTCCTAAGCTATAACATTCGGGCATCGGCGCGCATCATGTAGTAGTGGGTGTGTCCGTCCACTACGCAACGGCGGAGACGTTTGCGCGTGCTTGTGTAATTTCGCGTTGATTTATGGGAGGTGATTCATGCCATAATTCTTAGCAATTTTGATTGCTTGCAGACTAGTTTCGGAAGACGGTAGCACCTCGGCTTTGCAATGTGTTTTAGACTAGCTCGCTCTAAAGGTAGCTATGCCACTGACACAGGCATAGACTGACAAGCTAGCTCGATAATGCATTTTGCTTTGGCGCTAATAGTTGCTGTTGAACTACACGGAGTCGCCGCTGAGGACGGTATTAGCTATTGTGTATTGTACTGTTCATCAGTTCTCTTTCCACAGAGTGCGTTCGCATTATACGTGAGTAGGATGAAGACGAATATGAAGAGCTAGCAGCGGAACCCATGGAAAATCCAGGATTACGAAAGGTACGTCAGCGCCACCGGTCTAAACATCGCTGTCCCTCGCAGTGGTACTCTGGCGATGCACTTGAACCTGGAATATTCAATTGGTGAGGCAAAGTGTTACTTTCAGCCAGCAGTTATAAATGAAACCAGCAAATATGATGTCGTTTCTGCTGATAGCCACTTCGTATGGTCTCACACAAATATGTCCACAGCTAGCAGTCCGGGTCAGTGTTGGCAGCTCATCACACACTGCACACAGGGATGGGTTTGACGGAGGTGGGGAGGGAGGGAGGCACACTCTCCTCAGCCAGTTCCTCAGAGCAAATGTGTTCACGTGAGGCAGAATGAAGAATAGGAACTCGGCAAATCCGTGCCACATGATTTCTCTATTCATGAGATTCTCTGCAAACATTATAGGTAATTGCGGCAATAGTCAAGAATCAAGTAATACACTTTAATGGTCTCTACACACAGAGTTGCCAAAGCTGCAGGAGTTGTCAGACAAGAAAAAGAAGGAGGGAGAAGGACGGAGTGAAAGTGGTGATGTCCTGTATGTGATGATAGGAGTCCTCTGTTTCCTACTGCTGTGTGGAACACTAGGAATTATTGCCCTTTCCATCAAAAGGTGACCCAAAAAGAAGACACCAGCAAAGTTATTGCACCGAGTTTAATATGCAGGTATGGGTCAAAAATCTCTGCAAGTCATGTTGAAATCCCAACCTCAACCAATGAGGCATATTGGAAGGTGGAAAAAGAAAGGGGCAATGAGTTGTTGAAGATCTCTAATGGAGACCCTCCCCCTCCTCCAGCTAAACCAGAGGAGATGGGGTATGAGGTTGTCTTGTCCCCTGCTCCTAGCAGCAGGCCTCTCCCCACAATCCCTTTCCCTCTGTCTGGTGGAACAGAGGAGGAGGAGGAGGACTGTACTACTGCTGTCTATGAGGTCATTCCTGGAGATCACTGACTGATTAATGACTACTAAGATATTTACTAATAAATCAAAAGTGTATAGTTGAATTTGTACAACACCTCTAATGGACATATATATTGAACTTACTTTCAGTAATGACAAACAGTTTAGCATCATGGCATGTGTTTATTTTGCAATGCGTGTGAGTCCAAGGTGTGATTGAAAACTCTAAGTGGGACAGTATTTGTTTTGGCGAGAGACAAAATAAAATGCCTAAAGTTTACTTTAACATGTAACAGTTTTGAATGTCAGTGTAGAGTTCCTCTCCAGCCTCCAGAGGAGCTCCCAGTGTTCTGGCCTCTTCAGTGTAGGCAGCCACATCCTCTGCCGTCCATGTCAGCAACTTGAAGTCTGGACGCTGGAGCACTGTTTGGATGTCGGGGAATGTGGGCCTGGAGTGTGGCTCCGGGTGCCTGGCAGAAACACAGGGTGTCAGATAAGCAACTAGTGCTGACATGTGCTTTAGTTAACAATCTGCGATGTCTGGCAAACTTTTCTTATACTAAGCAATACCGGAGTAGCTAGAGCAACTCTGCATGGCATAATGGCCGAAATTTACTCTGTTTTACCAGGAGTACACATATTACTCGTACCAACAACCGATCATAGTCTGATAGACAGCTCTAGGACATCCAGGTGGGGGAGGGAGACGATATCCTGACTGGATTTTATCATAAACCTATGTATTACACATCACACAATTTGTTGTGTTGTTAAAAATACTTATGATTAACCTCATTATTGGTCATGAGAAAGTAGGGTGAAGCTCCCAGAGACCATATTTCATACATGAGAACTCCAAAGCTCCACACGTCACTGGCAGTCGAGTACTTCTTGTAGTGGAGAGCCTCTGGAGCTGTCCATTTCACAGGGATTTTCCCTCCACGAGAGACATAGTAGTCAGTGTCTTGCAGAGCTCGGGACATGCCAAAGTCAGCAATCTTGAGGGATGGAGAGGTATAGGGTTTTATGACGAGCAATAAACATCAAGACAGACCTTGCACATTTCCTCATGAGAGACCAGTATGTTCCTGGCTGCCAGGTCTCTGTGTATGAACCCCTTCCCAGACAAGTAGGCCATTCCTGAGGCAATCTGACGACAGAAACTCAGCAGTAATGCAGCAGTGTGTGGAGCCCTGTGATGACAGCTTCAATGAAGTACACTCATAATTACAGCTATCTCTATTACCCGGATTTAAAGGAGCAAAGGTGGTCCAGAAGGTTACCACCCTTCATCAGCTCAACTACAATCATCACCTGGTTACATAAGTCATGGTAAGTCACGCAATAACATTATGATTAGGTGCAATTGATATTTTTTTCAGCTCACTTGTTTGCTCTCCAGAAGAACCCCATGGAGAGTGATGACATTGGGATGTTTGAATTGGCCCATGATGACTACCTCCTGCAGGAACTGAATACGTTTCTCCTCTGTGGAGCCATCTGCCAGTAACTTGACAGCCACCTCCCTCTCCTCTCCCCCCACACTCCACACTCCCCTCCTCACCACACCAAACTCACCATTACCCAGCTCACTGGAAAGTCTACATAATATTCATTCGATACACTAAGTGTGAGTTCTCCAGTAGGTGACTCACGTGAGGCCATCAGGTGAGATGGTGTATTCTGTGAGTTGTTTCTTGAGCTCCTCTTCCACACTGGCTGGCTCCCAGAATGGCATGTCATGGTCTCTGCTGAACTCATAGAGTCCCTCAGCTGAGGCTTGAGGTGTTTCATTGCCCGACTTTCTGACATAGTAATCTCTGACATAGTCATAGTAGGATCTCTCCACCTGCATGCACCAGTACAACTCATGGTGTTATATTTTGCAGAAATGTGACTAGAGCCCATTTGATGTAGCATATATACAAAACACACAATGACAATGCCACTTAATCAGTTTACTCAGTTTACATTTAGTGGTTCATTTTGGTGCCTCTTTTATCAGAACCTTGCCTTATGATCAACAGAGACAGTAACAACACCAGTGCACACAGCAGCAGGAAACAGAGTACTCCAATCATCACATACAGGACATCTCTTTACTTTCCACTCCCTTCTTATTCCCATCTGCCAACTCTGTTTGTTTGAGATCATAAAGGTTATTACTGATACCTGACTATTGTGGCATTTACCTGTAATGTTTGCAGAGAAGAGGAGAGAGACATATTGTGTGAGACCATACCAAGTGGCTATCAGCAGAAACGACATCATATTTGCTGGTTTCATTAATAACTGCTGGCTGAAAGTAACACTTTGCCTCACCAATTGAACATTCCAGGTTCAAGTGCATCGCCAGAGTACCACTGCGAGGGACAGTGATGTTTAGACCGGTGGCGCTGACGTACCCTTCGTAATTATTGCCAACCATCGCGGTTTTGTTGCACGTTGCGGGCAATAATATTCGACTAGTCACATCATGATAACTATACTTTGTTCCTCTTACACCACTTGTCAATCGCATTTCAACATTTTCGGGTCTGCCACAAAACCCGCGAGCCTCGACAGAAGTAACAATGCCTCCACATGGCAGCATATATCCGTAGCGGTGGAATCCTGGATTTTTCATGGGTTCCGCTGCTAACTCTTCATATTCGTCTTCATGATACTCACGTATAATGCGAACGCACTCTGTGGAGGGAGAACTGCTCAACAGTACAATACACAATAGCTAAAATACCGTCCTCAGCGGCGACTCCGTGTACTCCAACAGCAACTATTAGGACCAAAGCAAAATGCATTATCGAGCTTGACGGTCTACGCCTGTGTCATTGGCATGGCTACCTTTAACGAGTGAACTAGTCAGAAGATGACCAATCAGATTTCAAAGCCGAAGTATTACTGTCGACAAGCCATCACGTCAACAAGAAACGCACGCGTATACAGCGTCTCCTCCGATAATTAACCCTGCGCGTGCATGCGCAGATAGAGTGACGGTACTTCGTGTGTGTCTATCTGTCTGTCGTCAACTTTGGCAACTCTGTCTTGTTCCAGCTTTTTCATATCTTTCTGCAGGTGCAACTTGAAACATAATGGTGTGCGGTCCATGTTATCATACAGTGGCTTTCCACTGAAGAGCTCAACCAATATGCCACCCACAGCGTAGGTGTCGACCAAAGTAGTTATTTTCTCTCCTCTTAACTTTTCTGGAGCTTGGAAACCGGGTGTTCCTGCAATTTTTGTTGCTGTACCAAAAACTCTGGTCTTCGTAAGAAGTCTCCCAAGGCCGAAGTCAGCAAGGAAAACATGACCCGTGTTGTCCTCAACCTGGTTGTAAATAATGTACTTGATGATTCTAAATACAGATGTTATTATCTCTTACTGGGACATTCTCGGCTTCATGTCCAAATGGACAACTGGAGGTTCAACCCTTGCACAATCTGCACACTGATTCTTACTTTCTTGGCATAGTCAAGCTGCAAAAAGTAACGTTGAAACTGTATAGCTACCTACGTCAATGGAGTACCATTATACCTGGGGACCGTCACCAAAGATGATATTGTGTAGTGATTGTCCTCTAGCATAGTTCGTTATCAGCACAAGTGATTGTGGGCATTGCATCGTCCCAAGAAGGGATAGAAGGTTTAGATGATTAAAACTCCTGTATTATCAATTTATTTGGTGGTACTGTATATTAATTAATATGTTAATTACCTGTAGACAGCCAGCTCATTTTCTAGAACCTTGGCATTTCCGGCTGTGGGTACTTCTTTGGCGGCCACTATAGTTCCCCGTCAGATAGCTTTTGATACACACCCAAAACCTCCCCTCCCTATTTCTTCAATAATATGAAGCTCTGTAGAGCAAGCGGTTACCATGATGAACTGTTTTAAGTATACCTTCAGCTATACCATTGAGGCAAGAGAGAGAGATTTCTTGATTATTGCTGAATCCAGGCTTTTCTCAATATACAGTTCTGTGGTCAAAGAAAGGTAAAAACTCAGAATGGAACTCGGAAGTCAACTAGAATGTAACTCGGAAGTTAGCTCAGAATGGAACTCGGAAGTCAACTCAGAATGGAAATTTGAACCTTTGGGAATAACAAACTCCCGCCAGGTGCATCTCTACAGACCACTACGACAGCATCACCTACTCCTAAATCATTGTACGGGAAAAGCTGCATTTGAAGTGTGCATGAGAGATTTCGGCTTACTTTCCACAATAAAGCTAGAAAAAATATGTATATTCAGCTCATCATTGGTGACCTTGCAACTATATTTGCCTTCTCTGGCGGTGTACAGTAGAGGAGTGTCTTCACCCCTGCATATGTACCCATTCATCAGTCAGCTATAGGACACTACAGAATGGTATCCATTCATGGCAGCACAAGCCATGAGCACAAGGTTATCAACCACGGAGGCCCAGCAACCAGTCCAAAAAACAATCCACCTCATAAAACGCTAAAGGAATACACGAGTACAAACGTTCAGTTGGCTTCTTGTAAAAAATTTCTCCAGTAGTAGCATCAAGGTCTTCGATGAAAGATATATTGATGTTGTCACCTTTTAGGACTATTTTTGTGCATAAAATGTATCACTAAAAAAGAAACTTACCTGAGATCGAATCCAGAAAAAAAAAACATGTGTAAAGGATTATCCTTCAGTACTCCTCACATTCCACTAATGAGCATCGAATCTCATCCATGTAATCACGATCATCGAGACGCCCGCTTAGGATCCTCTGTTGAATGTAACTACTGAATACCACTTTCTGCTTATCGTATTCAGCACAAAATCAGCCGATAGGAATAGCCTCTTTCAAAGTACTCTTGTATGAGCCTGTCCCGCTCGGCAGGTTGCACGCACTCGACATAAGTTATGCCGGATACTAAAACAACCACCACACAGCCCAGGCAGCGACCGGTCGAGACTGCCACTAGCTAGCTTATAGAGTAGCCAGCTAAAGAGGGTTAAAACTTTAGAATGGAAGTCGGTAGAATGGAAGTTGGTAGAATGTCTACGTACAGAGGCGCTCCTCTGGACATGCGGAGGGGCTGCTCGCGCGCAGCCGGCTGACACCGGTAACTCGGGAAGGCGTCAGCGGGCCACACCGAGCCTGGCGGGGTTCAGCGGGCCGGTGTACTCGAGATAGACAGTAAAGTACAGCTGGCTCGTATCTGCCGAATGCAGGAAGGAGGAAAGACGGCGAAAGACAGTTGCGAACTTTTGAAGCGCTGCAAAAGTTCACTCCACTAACTTATATTGTTGTATAGTTCATATATAGCGTCAACCTTTTCCCTATCTTGCACGGCCAAAGGTTGGCAGGTAGCTATGCGCCATTATCGCAGTCGATTCAGGAAAATCGCCTTTATTTTTCAGGCTCGCGTTGTTCTAAGACGTTGATGTCGCTCACGGGCCGCCTCGAACCCTGTAGTGCGAGAGTAGCAGCTGACGACAGAGAGACAGACAGCTAGACACACAGACAGACACACACACACCGTCGCCCTCTCTGCGCATGCGCGCGGAGGGTTAATTATCGGCGGTGACGCTGTATGCGCGTGCGTTTCTTGTTGACGTGATGGCTTGTCCACAGTAATACTTCGGCTTTTAAATCTGATTGAGCATCTTCTGACTAGTTCATTCGTTGAAGGTAGCCATGCCAATGACACAGGCGTAGACCGTCAAGCTCGATAATGCATTTTGCTTTGGCCCTAATAGTTGCTGTTGGAGTACACGGAGTCGCCGCTGAGGACGGTATTTTAGCCATTGTGTATTGTACTGTTCAGCAGTTCTCTCTCCACAGAGTGCGTTCGCATTATACGTGAGTATTATGAAGACGAATATGAAGAGTTAGCAGCGGAACCCATGAAAAATCCAGGATTCCACCGCTACGGATATATGCTGCCATGTGGAGGCATTGTTACTTCTGTCGAGGCTCGCGGGTTCTGTGGCAGACCCGAAAATGTTGAAATGCGATTGACAAGTGGTGTAAGAGCAAAGCATAGTTATCATGATGTGACTAGTCGAATATTAGTGCCCGCAAAGTGCAACAAAACCGCGATGGTTGACAATAATTACGAAGGGTACGTCAGCGCCACCGGTCTAAACATCACTGTCCCTCGCAGTGGTACACTGGTGGTGCACTTGAACCTGGAATGTTCAATTGGTGAGGCAAAGTGTTACTTTCAGCCAGCAGTTATAAATGAAACCAGCAAGTACGATGTCGTTTCTGCTGATACCCACTTGGTATGGTCTCACACAAATATGTCTCTCTTCTTCTCTGCAAACATTACAGGTAATTGCCACAATTGGCAGGTAATACACTTTTATAGTTTATACACACAGAGTTGCCAGAGTTGCCAGATGAGGAGAATAAGAGGGAGAATGAAAATACACTTTTATGGTTTCTACAAACAGAGTTATCAGAGTTGCCAGATGAGAATAAGAAGGAGAGTGAAAATAGTGATGTCCTGTATGTGATAATAGGAGTCCTCTGTTTCCTGCTGCTGTGTGCAACACTAAGCATGTTAATTGCTCTTTCCATCAAAAGGTGGTCCAAAAAATACACCAGAATAATTTATCATAGCTAAAGTTATTGCACAGTGTTAATTTTATATGTATATAGGTGTGGGTCAAAAATCGCTGCAAGTGGTAAAATTCCAACGTCAACCAATGAGGCATATTGGGAGGTGGAAAGAAAAAATGGCAATGGGTTGTTGAAGAGATCTAATGGAGAACCTCCTCCTCGCAGCAGACCTCTCCCACAATCCCTTTCCATCTGCCCTTTCCATGGAGCCATCTGC